AAGGGCCAATCGGTCTAAACGAGCGCGTACGTAGATGCGCGACGTTCTTGACGAACGTGGTGAGATTTGCACTTACACGCGAAGTACACGAATCGAAAAAAACAACAGCTCTTACATATTCTTGGTTCTTTCGGTAAAGTCACGTAAAAGGGAAATAATAAAATAATAAAAATACAACAATAAAATTCTCACGACGTTTCGATTGCAACACAAGCAATCATCATCAGGTGTGAAAACCACAGCAAGAAAATTTTTGAAAAAAAGTATTTCCCTTCTACGTGACTTTACCAAAAGAACCAAGAATATGAATCCCTGCATTCACGAAAGCTTTAAATCGAAATTTAACAGCTCTTACACTTCGTTGAGCCGTCGTTTGCGGGCGGGTCCCCTTCTTAAAAATAAGCTAATAGCTCAGTGGGCTTTACCTGGTATCTACTACGTCACTTTACCGAAAGACCCAAAGAATATACAAATATATTAGAATTTTTTTTGTGATTTGTTTACCTTTTCGATACTTTGCACTCCTATCGTGTTTTGTGTTGTTTCTTGTCGTTACTTTCTGACCCGCCCCTACTGGAAATTTGTGGAGAAAAGAGCTTTATAGCTCATCGGATTCCTCCTGCAGTATAAACAAAGATTCTGATTCAGATTTTAGTTTGAATCGATGACTAAAGTCATTGTTCTACCCCTGTTATTTTTAACGTGCGCGTTTGTTTGTTTTTTGCACGCACCGCCGTCTTTGCCTACGTGCTTCACCTAAGTCGGCTCTCGCTCGCCGTCGAAGTGTTTTTGACATTGGCTGTAAATAGAAGTCCCCATCACCGAGCCGATGTTGACAGTGGAGAAGCAGAGAAGTGTCCCACGTGACGACGCTCAGAGGGCCGGCACTATACGGCGATTGTAGAGTGCCGAGGCAACGAACAAAAAAGTTATTACAGAGATTTTCATTAATTTCCTGCGCTCGAGACTTCCAAGAAATCCCAGTGATGGATGGAGTGAGCGAGCGGTGTATAACAGGCATGGTACTGTACATTGTGCAGTTTCGCACACTCGGGGCATCGGTGTTAAAAAAAATAAACTCCTCTCCAGAGGAAAATGGGTGGTGTGTGGATGTGTTTTTTAATATTCCTGTGCATTTGCCAGGATCACCAGACAGCCTGCTTCGTGAAAGCACCCATTCTGTAATTAATAGCAATAATAAAAACCAGTCAAACAGTCAAAGCGCCTTCCCGCTTAACCCTCTTGCACAATAATTATTCAAAGACCAAACCTAAAAGAAATGTTGTTTTAGTTTAATGTGAATTTTAGGACTCAAAGGGAACTCTCATAAAAAAATGTGTTGAAAATATTCAATGTGGTTTTACAGAAGCCGTATTAATAACAGACGCGGACTTGATGTGCGAAAGGGTTAAAGTGAGTACCGTACAGGATGGTGATAATTTCTGTAGGTTGTGAGCCAGTGGGTGGAAAATCCACACATCCCCAAGCTGAGGCCATTCCCTCCAAGAGAACAAACACCGTTGACATCCCAGGAAGTGCTACTCATTTTATTGACCAGAACAGTGATTATAGGCTGAGTGAGCGCACCAGCAAGAGTTGAATGTTTTGCAACCCTTCCGACTGTTAACCATTGCACTTCACCAACAGTGCCAGCCAACGTAGCATATGATGACAATAATGAAGTCCTTTATTTGTCCATGAAAGCCTCACTGAAACTCAATGCTTTATCAGGAGGGGTCGTGCATTGTGATGTTTGGCCAGTTCGTTTTAAAAGGAGCGTTTTGCATGTGGGAAGAAAGCAGAGTACCCAGAAAGAGAGAAAAACCCCTCCTCGCATATGAATTTGGATAATGCCCCAATGTCTGCACGGAGAGATCACAGACTCACTTTCTGTACAGACATCGTCTTATACAGAATAACCCATCCCTCAGGAATGTGATTTAAAATATGTATACTTTCGTAAAAAATAAACCTCTACATTCCGTCCGAAAACAAGAGCTGTGGATCAAAGTAAAACACTGAACTTTTGAGACAAAAGGTGAAACGATAATATACAGACACTGAGACACCTTTTGCCAATACGGGGACATGCTGCTATACAAACACAACCTTCAGATTATTTTAACAGCTGCCTGAAATCTCCATCGTTCTTAAGCACCTACAGTTTATATAGTAGGAACTGCGGGCAATAGACACTGCCGGAGCTTCAAAGAACTCCACAGAGTTGCGACAGATGTTTATAACGCAGTGGCAAATACCAATTAAACGGAGCCAGTGCCAGTCTTGTGTAGCCCGTGCCATTTGCGCAATTAGTGAGCAAACTGTTGTGTGACGAGAGTAGGCACAGGTCGAGGAATTCCAACAGCACTTTAGCTTCCACGTTGTCTGTGTTTGATGTTCTTTGTACGCGGCGTTTGTTTACAGCTTCTAAGCGGACAATCCCAATTCATTTTCACAATTGCCTACCTGAGTAGCAACAGCAGCAGCAGCAGCAGCAGTACCATGGTTGGGACGTAATTGAACAAACATTTAAATGTATGCAGGATTTATATTTTCATTACACGATAATGCATTGACCCACTTCACCGTCGAATGGACTATGAAAGTAATGTCCGACAAATAATCGAGTGCAGTGTTTGGCATGCCCTCCGAGAATTGAACCATGCGCGTGCTGGCTGACAGTTCAGCTTGCCGTCTCGTTATGCGGCACTTTTGGTTACGACTCGGCACCCCGCGAGTATAAAGCTAACAAATAAAAACGCCACGTTAAAAACACGAGAAGTTGATAATTGGTTCTTTACCCTTCTATCTGGTAAGAGTTATGTTCTTTTGTTTGTATTATGACTGCAGGTATTGCGGTCTATGCAAACATGACTCCTTGTAAAAATGTGTCAGTTTTGTTGCCAGATAGAAGGGTAAAGAACCAATTATCATATTTTTACTGGCAAATGAGGTTCCCATAGTGAACACTAGAAGTTGTCAGCGGAAAAGCACTGGTTTCAAAGATCTGACTGCTGCCAAACGGACGAGTGTACGTGTGCAGTAATTACTACACTTGTTTTTCAAGTAACCAGGTAAGGCCCCCTGAGCTATTTAGCTCTTTTTCAGAAGCGACCTGGCCACAAATGAGAGCTCAACGAAGTGGCTTCGACGCGGGGGACCACTGCAAAATCTGTAGCGCAAACCCGCAACTCGGACCCCACACTCTGAACACAAAATCAACGCCGCGAACGGAGACTAATGAATGAGCCGCACTTCACGTTGCGGTGGGGTCATGCGAGGAATGCGAACCGCGTAACCAAAGGTCTGCAAGCAAAAAGAAGAGAGCACTGGCAATTTGAATATTTCTTAACCCCCCCCACCCCCACCAGACACAACGTTCACTACCGCCCCACTCCGACCGTGCAAAACTGTTCTGTCAGTCATAAACAATGCGGCTCTTTCCGAAAGAAAGTCGGTATTCTTTCACTTTCACCCGTAGCGCTGCGCAATTCGGAGCCCCGCGGCTACATCCTCCTGCACGCAGGAACGCGGAATTTATTTCACTCTGCGCTGACGACCGCAGCGGTCACCTCGGTGCGTGTGCTGGAGGTCTGCGCGAGATGCAACGATGCACGGATTGCATACTCGCGCAGAGACCAGAATGGAAGGCGAGTTTGTGTGTGTTTGTATGTGTATGTGTGTGCTTGTATGTGTATTGGTGGGGAGCGGTAGTGTAGCGGTCAGCACGCTGCGCTATGAAACCGGAGACCCGAGTTCGATTCCCCTTCTCAGTGGCGATTATCTGAGCCGGTGCTGGGCCTCCCCTAGGTCGACTCAGCCTCAAATGAGTACCTGGTGCGGTGTGTAAACATCGCCACTGGGGAGACAAAGGCGGTCGGGCGTGGTGCTGGCCACCCACCCCCTCGTGTACTGTTCCGGCCTTCATAAGTGCTCGCTAACAGCACTTGCCCCTACAGTCTGTCACAGGCTATACGGGGGAACTTTGTCTTTTGTGTGTGAAAGCAATTGTGATGAGAAGAGTGGGATAAGAAATAAATACGAGTTATGGCACGTGCCTTTTCCCATCTGAGCACGCAACAAAACAAATGACCGCTGCCTTTCAAAAGGCGGCTTCTATTCCAATGAACCCAAGCCCGTCATCATCTCGGAGGTTGTAAACACGTGTACGCGACACTCGGGGAAGAGGTGCATGAGGTCTCGTCACAGAGCTCGATTTAGACCGGTGGTTCTTAAACCTTTACTGCAGCCTTGCAACCCTTTGGTTGTCAATCGTTACAAAAATAAATACATCGGCGTTTGATGAAACAAGGTGGTTTGTACTTACGTGCCCGTTCTTTATTTGTGTTTTTTTCGATGATTATTTACCGCCTGAAAAAAAATCTGGCATGTTTCGCACCCGCAGAAAGGGCACCTCGCACCCGCATGGGGTGCGTGCCCCCCAGCTTAATAATAAGAAGTAGAAGCACTGCTTTAGACGAAAGAGTTGCGCAAACACACCGCGGTAGTCCGCATTCGTCACGGTTCCACGTGTTCCGCCGTCCGTTGAGTTCACAACAACCGTCGCGCTCAGCAGGCGCATGGAAGCGACTCGCTCTCTCGCTCTCTCTCCACCTGCTCCTCCGAATCCGTGCAACGCGCGCGCAGCAAGGGAGCGAGCGCGCTGGGAGCCCATCGGGAGGACGCTTTGCAGTCCACGTGCTGCCTCTTACTCTGCGATGATACACGGGATGTGGGTGGTGGTGGTGGTGGTGGAGGGCACGTGCCGGCAAAACCACGCCGAACGAAGCCACCCTCCCAAACAAAAACTCCCCCCCCCCCCACCTCCGCTTCTTTTCAAACGCGAATTCGCGACCAACACGGAGCGCGCGCTGCGACGTTCACCGCATCGCCGAACACGTGGAGCCTCGTGCTCGCGTGTGATGCAACTGAACCGGCGGACCCCCCCCCCCCCCCACACACACCTCCCCCCCTCTCCCCGAGGTCTCCGCACGTGTTACCTTTCGCTCAGCGCGTTCTCCATCGCCGTCGGCGTCCGCTGCGGAGTCATCGTGGGGACGCGCGCCGAATGAACGCGAGAGCGCGTGCGGTTCTCTCTCTCTCCGTGCGAGAAGGGGGCGAGAGAGACTTGGTCGTTGTTGCGGCTCTCACGAGCGGCACTTTCTCCACCCCCCCCCCCACCACCACCAGCAGCAGCACTCACCCTCCCAAGCTACAAGCAGCCGAGAGGAGGTTTCGGAGCGAGGCAGCACAATGGAGGTTGCCAGGGCTGAGCCGTGACCGTTTGTGAGTGCGACCCCCGGGAGCATTGTCAGAGCGCCCAATCACCCCCCGCCACCCCCTGCCCGCATCGCCCTGTCACACACAGCCCCACACACCAGGGTTCTACCCAGCCCCCTTCTCACACTCGCTCCACTCCTCCTCCTACCCCCCACTCCCGTCTCTCCCCCCAGTGAATGCTAATCCACGCACACACGCAGTGGCCCCTCTCCTCTCCCCCTACCCCCCTCTTTCCACCTCTCGAGCATAGAAGCGGTGGCTACGGACCCCTGCACCCACCACGCATGATGCATCAGAAGGAGGTTTTTTTTCGCTGCGATGTGGCGCTACACCCACTGGGCTGCTGGGCTCTCTCCCGTCCCGGGCTGCTGCTCCGGGCTCTTGCTGCAAGGTCACGAGGGCTCTGCAACAATGGTTTTGGTTGAAAAGTAACACTGCGATCGTGGCACGCAGCTATGTTCTATCCACTGCTGCATGAAAGCCTCCCCCTCCATTTCACTGCTGCTGCTGCTGCACCATCAGCTCGTTCCAGCGCTCCATCTCTGCGCTGGTCATCCTTGTGGGTTTGTTCCCACAATTGAAATTAAGAGCAGCGCATCATTATGGTACGTCCCGTTGTTCACCCGCTCACGGATGCTAGAAGCATCGCCGCGCCCTTTTGACAGCGGCGGTCGTTTGGCCATACTTCACCACGCCGGTCCAGTGTGGGTTTGTGAGATGGGGGTGGGGGAGGGGCGGGGAACAAGTTCTAATATCACTCACTTTATTTAACTTATATAATTTATTAGAACCTATGTAATGTATTTATTTAATGGGCGCCAAGGTGGTGGTGAGACGCTATCTTCCCCGCCTGGCATGCAGGAGGACCAGGGGTTTGATCCCGACCCTGACGCCTGCTGCTGTATATTTGGAGTTTGCGTGTCTCTCTCTCCCCGTGGTCGCGTGGATTTTTTAAAATCTCCGGGTCCTCCGGTTTTGTCCTCCACATGTATAAACATGCGTTTAGACTATTTAGTAAATTTTGCTGCTATAAATGTGCAAATGATAAGCCACTTTGTCGAACTATCGTTTATGGCCAGGTCGCTTTTGAAAAATAAGTTAACACCTCCGTGGGCTTTGTCTGGCAGGATGGACACGGTTTAGTTTCAATCGCGTGTGTTGTTGTAACGTTCTTACCCGCCCCGACTGGATATCTGTGAGAAAGGGCTTCGTAGCTCATCGGACTCCTCCAGTCTAAATACATCTTCTGATTGCGATATCAGCCGTGGCCGGGAAATAAATCTCAGATCGAGGTGCTCACAGCACTCCACTCAGTCATGTTTAGGGCAATGGCTGCATGAAGAAGGCCCATTACCCGAAACGTCATCTATTATAGATTTTAGTTTTCCTTCTTTCAAAACAGTGTTATTTACAATTGTCTTGAGGATCTACCGATCGAGAATCGCTCAGTGTGGCCGCTTTCGAAATGTGTGTCTACCCAGCTCTAAATCATCTTTAAAAGTATATTCCTTTACGGCACTGTATTTCACGATGAAATCATCAAATTGCTATTTATTATTCAACAGTGATTTATGTTTGCACAATGATTGGGATTTCTCACGTGACACCGGTTATTTACTCCATCGCTGTGCTTTCATTTTATTTGTTTGGTTGTTGTCATTTTAATGACCCCAATCACTCGTTAAGCCTTATCCTGGTCTCTTGATGTCCATCTGAACATCTGTGAAAAAGAGCTTCATAGTTCATCGGATTCCTCCAGTTTAAATAAAGATTCTGATTCTTGAATGCTCACCCGGTTAAACAATATAAATTGAACGCATCACTGTATGGGTAATACGTGCTTGATGGTATGCAATTATAGCTTAGAGAAAAACAATTAGGTGATTATCACAGAAAATAGCCTTAATGCGTAAATTAAAGGCAATTTCAAAACAATGCAAAAACCACAGGCTAAAACTGAACGAAAACAATTTTTTTTATTTCACCAGACAAATCCCACTGAGCTATAGAGCTCTTTCAGAAGCCATCTGGCCACAAATGATAGCTCAACGAAGTGGCTTATGACGTGGAAATCTATAGCTGCCAAATACGCTACATATTTCTGCAAAAGCAATAGAAGGTTGATGATTTTTTTACGTGCACAGTATTCACTCACTTTCGAAGAGATACCAACTTACTCAGAGGTGCAAGAAGGAACCACGGACAAGTGGGAAGACAGCCACACGGTGAGCCGGTGCCAAACTACCCCCAAGCTCTGTGATCCTATATATATGAAGGCGTTATCAGCCAATTAGCAGGTGTTTGTTTACATGTGGGAGGAAACTGGAGCACCCGGGGAAAAGTCACGCACACGACGGGGTAACACGCTATCCCGTATAGATGGAACAGGTGTAGTGCACATTTGCTGCACCACCGTTCTCCTGGCAAGCCAGGGTATGTGACACCTCGACGCTCACGGGAACAGACATTTGTGTGATCGACCAACCCTCGTCTCTACCGTGATGGATTACAGGCGTGCGCCACCACCGGCTGAATTTGTCGCGCTGAAGGATATGAGATGTGCGTGTACGGTACATGTTTTATACAGGTAGCTTGTTGCATCGTGAAACTGTGAGAGATGCGATAGCTTGGGGTGACCTTCACCCAGCCGTGGATAGATCACGGCCGGTGATGATGATAAGTTAGAATTGTGAGCATAAAACAACGTCAATGATTGCAGCAAATGAACACAAGTGGACGTCATTAACCATTTGGTCAATTGCCAATTACGTTTTCGTCAAACAAAATGAAGGAAGTTGTGTGACGAAAATGAGGCATCGTTTCGCAACTTGGAGCCTGGTGTCACAATGGGGTCAGCCACGGAAGGTGACTGTCCCACAGCACTAATTGCAGTGTCACTCGTAGCTAGCTATCTCTGAGCAAAAGTCATTGGTCTGTAAGGAGCTAAGTCCGGTACATTTATAACTAGGACGCAATAGCGTAAAGAGGGTCATTGCCTGTACGATCGGCAGTTCACGAGCAGTGATTCAAGAAAACCTCACGGATGATGAGACATTGTATGTCGAAACCAATCCAGACTTTGCTTGTCTTGAAACAATCCTGCTGAAATGATGTCACTCCCAGACGGTCGTGCAGTTGACGGGATGTGTAATAAATAAATACATAAATGTGCTTTCGTGGGGAAGGATATGCGAATAATACATTGACCACTTGTTTATTTTGTTAAGAACTTCCGCAACTGTTAGAAACTGGGTTATCACGAGTGTTCCTTACTGTGCAAAGAGTGGAGCACCACGTGTCCATCGCATTACACGAATTTATGCTGAATATCAGGTCACGTGACATTTACAGTTTCTCAAGACGCTTTAGAGGTTGGCACTTATGAGGAAGCTCGTAATCTTGAGTGGATGAGCAAGACTCATCGACAGGTACGCGGATCTGCTGGTCCAATGGCTCAATATTTCCCTTAAGCCTTATCAGTGCGCGATGACTCGATACAAAAAAAAAACATTGTTTGGTGACACTGCTGCGTTGGCAGTGGTGCCACTAAGCACGACTGCATTGAGGTTGAACTTCTTTCGCACCGTACGTAGCAAAGCGCGCTACTCGGAGGTGCGGGGAAAGGACAGCAGACTAAACAATTAATAAATAAGCTGAACACACTCGTCAACGACACCGCCTCTAAAGAAAACATGTAATTAGTGATGTCTCAGGCAATGGCTCTTCTGTGATATGGAGGGCCATTGCCCGAAACGTCATCAATTATATATTTAGTTGTAATCTTAAAAGGCAGTGTTGTTGACGAGTGTGTTGAGTTTTTCGATGGAAAAAAACCCATCTGAATTAGAGCGTTATTAAATTGAAAAATTAAGCAGCAACATGTGAGATGTATGTGTCCTGTGATCTAAACATTGTATCACATGACCGTAAAGTCCGTTTCCAATCAATATTGTTTTCTAGCACATGCCCTCCCAATGTGGAAATATTTTAATCAGGAATTCAGTGGACGATGGACTGGGAGAGGTTCTGATGTGACGTGGCCAGCCCCAAAGCCCACGTTTGGGCTTCCCCTTTGGGGAATTATCAAGGAGAATGTTTCACACTTAAGATTGACAAACATTGAGGAACTCGAAAACAGCTGTTACGGAACTGCTTTTAAAGGGAGGGGCCATCATTTCACTCGGAAGAACCTGTGAAGGAGAACTGGGACACGACTCCAGCCACGTGCTAAGCATGAAAAGGCAACAACATGGAGATGTTGGAATTATAGGTTACATTTTCAGGTTTTTTTTCCATGGACCGACAACCCTGTTTCAGATGGTCACTGCGTACAAAGATGGACACCGCATCGCGTACTTTCAGATGCGCTTCTAAGGCCGCCTGGAACGCTCTCTCTTCCGATATTAGGAAGCCGCTGAAGCTATGCACTTTAGAATCTACAATGAAAGCTCAGTTCTATAGAACTGCTTTTTGTGTTTAGTTTGTTGTCTTTCCCCTGCACCTCCCATTAGCGCGGTTGGCTATGTACGGTGTGAAATAAGTTCAACATCCATCCAGTCAAAGATGGGGAATTGGTATTCGTGAAAAGGCGGACTCTATAGTACCTTTGCGAGCACTGCGGTGGGAAAACGCTGCTGTAGGAACACGCACGTGGGCAAACACCAATCCTCGTGACGATGCACTTCTACCCCACAACGGCGCGCGATTCTGTGAATCGTCACGACTTGGGAATGATGATTCGGCAATTTTGCTCACTCTCACAAATACCGCCCCACTTGTATTGCTTGTCATTTATTTAGTTTCCTCCATTAGCCTGGAGGTGACAGCAGAATATTGTCTCACATAGTTTTTCAATTTGTATAAATTATTTTTAAAAATGGTATTCACCATTCCGTGGAACAAGAAATATAACCGTTTTCTATATTATAATTTAATAATTTACAGAATGTTGTCAGCACACTGCCATGTCAGTCAAGGGGTTGTTTGAT